TCATTCCAATTGGAACCTTGTGAGTCTGCATTCATAAGCAAAGTCAAATCAGGACAGGCTGTCCATAAAGTCAGCAGCAATATGCACCAGTTCACAGGCTCAAATAGCTTATCTTCATCTGGTGGGGTTCTGGTCAACTCAATGTGGGCCGCCTCACTTACCCTCATCAGGGTGCCCATTGGTAACCTTGCCTTTAGACCATGGGCACTGTCACAAATTCTCAACAACCCTCGCCCCCTTGTGCTAGGTCATGAACTTCAGATCAATCAACCCACTCTCGTCTTCTCCTCTAGTCCCTGTGAACCAGGTCCACCGGTGTCAGTGGCCAGACTCAACCCAGCTCTTCACTGCCATGTTTCTCTCACTTCAAGACAACCCCGGGCTAACACATGTTGCTTTGGGGTTCCAGTTCAGACATGCATGCAGTTATTCCAAACAACACAAGTTTACATTTCTCTGTGGTCTCTGGCTGGCTGCACACAAATTTCTTTGGGAATATCCTTGTCCTGGTCTCTTTAGGGGGCCCTCAAAAACAAACAAAAAAACAAAGGTGCAATCAAAATAGTGGATTCCAGAGGGATCTACTGATCCAGTGACAATGAAGGCAGAGAGCCCTGCTCCGAAGGTTATGAAGACTGTTTTATTGTTTTGTTATTTTTTTCATCTCAAAGGCTTACTCCTTTGATAGATTTCTCTCACAAGGACAGGATGATGACGGAGCTTATTATGAAGGTTTCAGAAAATTGGAAACTGCGTTGGGGAGAGGAGGCCCGGGTATGGGTGCGGAGAAATGTCTTGAATCATGACAGGGCACCTGCTCGTTCTTGGAAGGTAGCAAGGGCTTCATGGGAGAATTTCCTCTGAAAACCGTACCCTGTCCATCCTGCATCCCTCATGGTGCCCCCTTCAGCCTTCTTTTTGTTTCTCAAACTTAACAAAAAAATGAAAAAGAACATGATTTGGGTCTCTCCAGGAGGCCAAAGTGGCTGTTTCGATACAGCGTAAACCGACCAGTTCGGAATTCTTCAGGGGAGGATTCCACTCCCTTCGGTCTATAAGCCTAGGTGGATAATCTATCAAGAAACACTAGCTTCACACTGTGCTCCTTTTTCTATTATTATGAAATCCTCCTATTATTTTGTAGCACCACCCTTTTTACTTACTTCAAGTATTGCAGCAGGCGAAAATGAACTTTGAAACGAATTTTAATATTTTTATCTGAATTTCTCAAGAAACATTCAAGGGAGTCTGCATCATAACCTGCAATGTATTTTCAAACGATCGCTTCTCCCCTTGACTTTTCCATACTCCATATCGTTCCGGAGTCTCCGCTTTCAAACTCCCCGGATTCTGCCAGAATCCACCCGGGCTGGCTTTTGTGTCATCTCCCCCCCGCCCCTGTGTCCAGTCCTTTCTTCTTTTGATCAGTTGAGAATTGGGCTTCTCATTTTTATAGTTTCGCTTCTGCTTTGCTCATTACCTCCATTCTTCACAAGAGGTGACCAGGGCTGACCCAGAAAGCGAAAATCCTTCCCAATTTCTTCGTGCATCTCTGGCCAGGTTGCTCTACCTGGCCTCCTAATTGCAGGACCCAAAGGCCAAGCACTAGCCTCAAAAGGAAAGAATTCCTCAGGTGGGGTGGGGGATGGCGCAGGATCAGAATCTGCCCAGACAGGAGCTGAGGAGCCCATGAACACTTGCATATGAAAACGTCTTGTTTCTATCACCCATAGATCATTACGGGCTCAAACGAGGATAATGTGGGCCGCTATAACTCCCAAGCAGCTGGAAAAACTCTCAGTTTAGAAATATTCACTAGACTAGATTTATGCAGCTGTTCCACCTGAAGGCAGAGCTGAGCAGATTAATGCTCACCGTGGACTACCAAACGCTGATCTATAAAGTGGGAAGGGAAGGAAATGGAAATTTATTGAGCACTTACCCAAGCGTCTTGCTAAGCTCTTGAAACAATGCCGTGCCATTCACAACCCCCAACAGCCCTTCTAGCCATGTTCTCAGCTTGGAGCTCAGACACTATGCGCAGGAGTCTGAGTGGTGACATGTAAAATTGCTTGTGTTCTTATGTCAAAATGAATTGTCTGTGGATAGTTTTGTTTTCACGTCAAAACAAACTGGTTAACATGAGCATATTCTGGGTGGTTAGGACGACCTCTTATGGCAGATATAAGCAAAACAAGTGATGGCCGTGCGCTGTTGAATGGGTCATGGCTCATAGTAACCCCATGGGACGGGATAGAACTGCCCTATAGGGTTTCCAAGGGTGTTATCGGCACCAGGACAGGTTGTCGGGTCTTTTCTCCCACGGGATGCTTGGTGGATTTGAACCCCAGACCTTTTGGTTAGCAGCCTAGGGCTTAGCCATCGGAGTACCAGGACTCCTTCATTCTCTTTTCACTGAGCTAGGTGAATGAGAAAGGAACAAAGGTGAGCTGCCTACAGGAATGACACAAGTATGACAACAGAGGCCAAGTGATCGCTTGGTGCTTGGAGTGATGGATGGCTTTGCAGGAGTTCAAATTCAGAATGGGACCAAGAGCGTGCATCCTGGCTGGACCAAAGCCACATGATGAGTCAGGGTTTGATACAAGCAGGAAAAGGGCATCACGTGACGTTAATGCTACTTCTTTGAGCCGTATTATCTTGATGATCATCATTTGATACATCTACACATTTGTTCTGATCGATTGTCGTAGGTAAATTGCATTATTTGCTCCCAATCCTTCATGCTCTCTGCCATGCGGAATTCTTGGTTCTGATATAGCAATGCTTCCCACCACAGCAGGCAGCATGTTATAGGAGGTGGGGGGAAAAAGGCAACCTGTGTGATGTAGCAATGCCTTTTGGTAAAGCTGTGCCTTTTAAAAATGTAGAAGGCCACAAGCAACATGACTAATGAATGCGTGACACCGGACAAGGAGTTTTTGAAGCAGAATGTTCAAAGTGTAAGCAGACTCTCATTGGCTGCACTAAGAGATGAACTCAGAAAAGAATTGGTGGTTTGGGAGCAAACTTAGGATTGCCCGGAGAGAACCCAGAAAGTCCAGAAGCTGTAATGTTGACAGACAAAACTGTTTCTCCTTCCCAATTGAAAAAACATAGTTTTGAAAACGCCATGCATTTGCAAGACCCTCTAGATTCAGGGAGATGGCAAAACCCAAAACATCCACCTCATTAAGACAAAACCTCAGGACCACATCCAACTCAATGTTGTAGTCGCTCCATCTTTTCTCTAGATCTCTGAAAGACTGAGTGGCACACAGTAATGACTTTCACCTGCACAAAACCTTAGGCTCAAGAAGAGCCACACCTGGCCTGATTGTAGAGCACACCATCCTGAACTTTGAGTCTGATGGCAGGTTGGAGGAGACTTGTGATGTGGTTTGGGGACAAGGGGAAATAGACCACATCTGGGAGCAAAGTGAAGAATGATGATCTAAGGAACACTGTAAGAAGGACCGCTGAAGACAAATGGGTGCATAAGCAAATGTGGTGAAGAAAGCTGATGGTGCCCGGCTAACAAAAGATATAGTGTGTGGGGTCTTAAAGGCTTGCAGGTAAACAAGCAGCCATCTAGCTCAGAGGCATCAAAGCCCACATGGAAGAAACACACCAGCCTGTGTGACCACGAGGTGTAGAAGGGACCAGGTATCAGGCATCAAAGAACAAAAAATCATATCACTGTAAATGAGGGTGAGTGCAGAATAGAGACCGAAAGCCCATCTCTAGGCAACTGGACAGCCCCTTACTGAAGGGTTGTGGGGAGGAGATGAGCCACTCAGGTTGCAGGGTAGCAACGATGAAACATACAACTTTCCTCTACTTCTTAAATGTTTCCTCGCCCCACTATCACGATCCCATTCTTCCTTATAAATCCAGCTAGACCAGAGGATGTACACTGGTACAGACAGGAACTGGAAACACAAGGAATCTAGGACAGATGCTCCCTTCAGAACCAGTGTTGACAGTGGTGATCCCAGGAGGGTGGAGGGAAGGTGGGGTAGAAAGGGGGAACGGATTACAAGGATCTACCTATAACCTCCTCCCTGGAGGGACAGACAACAGAAAAGTAGGTGAAGGGAGACGTCAGACAGGGTATGACAGAATAATAATAATTTATAAATTATCAAGGGTTCATGAGAGAGGGGGTGGCAGGGAGGGAGGGGAAAAATGAGCTGATACCAAGGGCTTAAGTAGAAAGCAAATGCTTTGAGAATGATGATGGCAACAAATGTACAAATGTGCTTGACACAATGGATGTATGTATGGATTGTGATAAGAATTGTACAAGCCCCCAATAAAATGATTTTTTTAAAAAAGGAGTGGTAAATTTGATAGAATGTTCACCTTCCATGAGGGACCTCGATTTGACTCCTGTTCAATGCACCTCTTGTGCAGTCACTTAAGTCCCTTAAGGATGATGAGTTTCTATGAGGCTGGACAGGTTCCAGCAGAGCTTTTAGAGTCAGTTAGACTAGGAGGAAAAGTTTAGCAATCATCTTCCAAAAGAAATCCATCAATGGAAATCCTACGAATGGCAACAAACAGACCTGCAACCAATCAGGGACTGGTGTCAGGCTGGCGGGGGTTGGGGTAGGTGGGGGTGGGTGGGGGGGTGGATCAGCACTTTATTCCACAGTGCATGAGGTTGCCAAGGGAAGGGGACCAATTCAATGGCAGCTAATCACAACATTTGACTTGGATCCACCATGTACCCTCGTGGAAACAGCAGTCACGAAATCAAACGGCAGACTACATGGGGCAAATCTACTGCACACGATCTTTTTAAAGGACTTACAGAGCACAGGTGTCACTTCAAGGACTAAGATGTGCCTGACCCAAACCATGGTGTTTTCAATGGCCTCCTAGGTACGCACAAGCTGAGAGTGTACAGAAGCCCAGAGAAGAATCGATGTGATTGGATTGTGCTGCTGGTGAAAAATATCGAACGTACTATGGACTTGTAGAAGAACAAATAAGATATACTTACCTGGCAGGGGAGATACCATGATCACGAAGGTGGTTTTCCCAGGCGAGGCTTGTCCATTGCACTCCGGATGTGCTGACCCCTGCGGTTTCCCCAAATGTGGGAGGCTCGACTGCATAATTTGTGAGAGTGGGGGACTTCGTTCGTTCACGCTCTCCCCTGAAAACAAAAAGAAGAACAAATAAGTCTGGTTTGGAAATGTACAGCCCAAAATCTTTTGCATAATGAGGATGCTGGGTAAAGTCGAGGGTCAGTGGCAAGTGAGGGAGACCCTCCCTGAGACAGACTGACTCAGTGGCCGAAACAATGGGCTCAAGCACAAGAACAGTGGGAAGGATGTTGCAGGACCATAGGCGTTGCCATTTGTTGTCCATAGGGTAGCAATGAGCTGGAACTCACTCAATGACACTTACCAATGGCAATGACCACGACAAGGGCAACTGTGGTAGAGTGAACTATTGTTCTCAATTCTTCAGACTTTTTCAATGAGAACTGTTAGTACTTCCTGTTAGAGTGTTTTGTTAAGTGCCATCAAGTCAGCTCCAACCCACAGCAACTGAGGACACAACAGAAGGAAGCACCACATGGTCCTGCGCATCCTCACAGTTGTTCCTATGCCTGAGCCCATCAATGCACCCACTGTACCAATCCCTCTCCTCACGGGCCTTCCTCTATTTGTTATTAAATCATTTTATTGGGGGCTCGTACAACTCGTCACAGTCCATCCATCCATCCATTGTGTCAAGCACATTTGTACATTTGTTGCCATCATCATTCTCAAAACATTTGCTTTCTCCTTGAGCCCTTGGTATCAGCTCCTTAGTTTTCCCCTCCCTCCCCACTCCACCCTCCCTGATGAACCCTTGATAATTTATAAATTATTATTATTTTGTCATATCTAACACCATTCGATGTCTCCCTTCACCCACTTCTCTGCTGTCCGTCCCCCAGGGAGGAGGTTATAAGTAGATCCTTGTAATCTGTTCCCCCTTTCTCCTTCACCTTCCCTAAACCCTCCTGGGATCGCCACTCTCACCACTGGTCCTGAGGGGTTCTTCTGTCCTGGATTCCCTGTGTTTCCAGTTTTTGTAAAAAATTATTTTATTGAGGGCTCGTACATTTCTTATCACAGTCTATACATACATCCATTGAGTCAAGCACCTATGTACACCTGTTGCCCTCATCAATCTCAAAACATTTGCTCTCTACTTTAGCCCTCAATATCGTTTGTTCGTTTTCCCTCTCCCTCCCCCTCCCCCTCCCTCCTGAACCCTTCATAATCCATAAATTATTATAGATTTGTCATAAGTTATCCTGTCTGACATCTCCCTCCGCCCTCTTCTCTGCTGTCCATTCCCCAGGGAGGAGGCTATACTTGTAATTGGTTCCCCCCTTCTACCCCGCATTCCCTTCACTCTCCAGGCCTTGCCCCTCTCACCGCTGGACCTGAAGGAGTCATCTATCCTGGGTTCCCTGTGTTTCAAGTTGCTATCTGTACCAATGTACATCCTCTGGTCTAGCCAGATTTGCAAGGCAGAATTGGGATCATGATATTGGGGACAAGGAAGCATTAAAGAACTAGTTTGGGTTTGGGTGAATGCTAACGAATGCAACATGAGGCTTTGTGTGTGCCTACACGTTCTGGCTGGGCCACTACCCTCCTGTGATGCTCCATGAAGAAAGGATGCCCTTGTAACCTTGGATGCCACTAGGTAGGCATGGAGCTTCAACAGCATCTACTTGAATCCCAGTGACACACCTTCCAGTGATTATGCAGCATCATTTTAGCAGTAGCTGAATCATACAATTCGTATAAGAAGTACAACGGGAAGAACAAAGTATTGCTCTTCGGGTTCCACTTCATAAATGCACGGATTTATTCCAAACATGTTTAAATGTATCTTGGGGATCTCTGTGATACACTTGCCTTAGTCCCCTTAGGGGGTCTTAAGAAAGAGACGGGGGAAGGGGGGGGAGGGTTCACAATAAAAGAGAAAAAAAAAGAGACAGAGGAGAGGAGATAGAGACAAACAAAAACCGTGGCTTCTGAAGGACCTGCTGGGCCAAGTTACATACTAAATGCAAAGCGGAGAGGAGACGTCAGCTCCAACAGTTAGGGCGACTCTTTGGGGGACAGATTTCAAAGGGCCAGTCTTGAAGTATGTTCTTGAAAGACCGCAGGCCAATCATGGAGGCTTATCATGAGGAAAAATTTAAAAACACTGAAAACAATATCGATGAGGACAAGGCCAGCAAATTTGCTCTAAGAATTTTTTTTCTATGGCAAACTGCTTACTTCTTTTCAGGGAATCAGGGGCTATCCCAAGAAACGTTCATTGGGAAACCTACTCCATCCACCCTCCGGCCCCAATCATGTCACTTTGACTTGTTTCCAGTGCCAATTTCAAGGAACATTTAAAAGGAACATTACTTGAGTCCCAAGAGGATGTAAATCTGCCCTTCTGCGGTGATGTACATTGAGTGCAGAGGTCTTTGGGGGAAGGGTTAGAGAGACGGAAATACTGTCTTCAGGACTAGCTAGACCTACATGGAGGCTACGCTGAGAAACAACAGTTTCACATTTTGATAGTTTTGCTTAATAAAGGTTTTGATGATTTTGTAGCAACGCTCTTTGATTTACCACCGTATGTTGTTCCAGGTGCAGTCCGTCAGTTTTCGACGCACGGCACCCCGTGTGACAAAGCGGGACTCTCCCACAGTCTCCTGGGCTGCAGCCTTGACAGAAGTGGATGGCCAGGTCTTCTCCTGGCAGGACCACCTTACCGTTAGCCGCAGAGCCCTTAACCAGCATGCCTCACAAGAAGCACCTGCCTCAAGAGCTCACTTACAGGGAGCCCGGGGGACCCGGGGGCCACAAGGTCAGCCAATGGAAACCACCAGCTCCTCCAGGAGCGACAGGAGCTTTCTACTCCCACAAAGCGTGGCCCTCCATGCGGTATGAAGATACATATTATTCCGGCAAATCCGTGACTAACATTTTTTTTAGTGAATATTATTGTAAATTTTCCCTGACAACCAACTCCCACTGTTTGTGTTAATAGTGTCCAGCCATGAAAGGATTGATTCTGTACAAATGAATAATTGCGATACAGAGTTAGCCTCCATTGGCCCGATATCCCTTTCTCAACCGTGCTTGAAAAAATTAAGTACCGGGGGCTAATCAATAACAATATTAACAGATGATCATATTGCCCCAGGGAGATGATCAATAAGACTTTCTACTGTAAGTTAATAAGGGGGTCTTTAAAGAGAGCCAAAGACAGATTTAAAACAAAACAAACCATAGATTCAGGAATAGGTTTTGGGCTCACACTAAATCCTAGCTCCAATGTAAGAACAATTAGTTCTTCCATCACGGTCCTGCTCAATGCTCTCCCTCCGGAAGGGGACACAGAAGATACTGGGTGCTATGGCAAAATGTGGTGAAGAAATAAGATGGTGTCTGGCTATCAGATAACATCGCATCTGGAGTTTTAAAGGCTTGTTTCCAAACAAGCAGCCATCTAAGTGACATTTTAACTAAGTCCACCGGGGAGAAGCACACCAACACCAGTGACCAAAGGATTGTAAATCATATAATCCGGAGCTAAAGGAGGGAATAGTATCAGAGTCTAAACCGTGAGATTCTGGTTTGCAGAAGGCCATGGATGACAGTGGAATCCCAAGAGACATTTGTGAGATCGACACAGGAAATCAGCCCCTGGTGGTTTCTCTCTGTCCATAACAGAGGGACGGGAGGAAACTGGTCACCAAGCAGAGTGCACTGGAGAGATGACTCTAGGAGATCAAAATGACACACCTGACTCGAACAGTTAACACCTTGTCCCTTGATTTCCCCCCTCTGATGCACACTGGGCCTGATCTGGTTTTCAACCTTTTCTATATTTTTTGTTTGTTCAAATTGAGGTTTATCTCAGATGTATTTTATCATTGGGGGTGAACCTCTTGAATTTTTGTTACCTGCTTGTCTGTTTTTTGGTATCTGATTGATGAACCTATAAAGTCACCAAGTAGACTAAGGATTTCTGGGGGGTATGATGGTGGAGGGGTGGAGTGGGGGTGGGGTAAAACAGAGCTTACCTTGTGTTAAGGAGTCTAAGAAGGAAGAGAATGTGTGAAACTGATGGTAGTAGCAATTGTAAAATACTGTGCGATGGGATTGAACTATGGAATCTGTATTGGTGCACCCAAATATGGTGTTTTAGAAGGAGGGAAAAGTTAGTTTCAGAAACCCCAAAGCCGATTTCCACCGTGTCCTTGAAAATTGCTGTGAGTCGGAATCCAGGTGATGGTGGGGGGTTTGGGGCCTCAGGGACGAAGCACTTGGGTGCTGACCTAGTTGAGCCCACGAGGCCCTATGTAGAGTAAGCCGTGGCATCTTTTCCCATAAAGACAACAGTCCTGAAGTCCTATGGGACAGTTTTACTCTGTCTCATAGGGTTGTTGTGGGTCACGTGGTCAAGGCGTTTGTGTGGATCATAAAAAACTATGGATCACCTTGAGAAGAATGGGAATTCCGGACCACTTCACTGTGCTCACGAGGAACTTGTACATGGATCAAAAGGCAGTTGTGCCAACAGAACAAGGTTTGAAATCAGGAAAGAAGTGTGGCAGGGTTGTATCCTCGCACCACACTTCTTTACTCTTTATCCTGAATAAATCATCCGCGAAGCTGGATTAAAGGAAGAAGCCTGTGGCATCAAGATTGGGGGGAGGCTATTAAGGACCTGGGATATGCAGATGATACAACTTTGCTTGCTGAACTTGAGGATTTGAAGCACTTGCTCCTAAAAATCAAGGATTATAGCCCTTCGGTATGGATGACAACTCAATGTCAAGAAGACCCAAATCCTCACAACTGGACCCATCGAGGCAACATCATGATAAACAGAGAAAAGGTTGAAATTGTCAAGGCTTTTGTCTTGCGTGGACCCCTAGTCGATGCTCATGGAAGCAGCAGTCAAGAGATCAAAAGATCATGTTGCATGAAGTCAATCTGCAGCACAAGAATTCTTTCAAGTGTTGAAAAGCAAGGATGTTCCTTTGAGGACTAAGGTGTACCTTTCCCAAGCCATGGCATTTTCAATGGCTTCTTATGCATGTGAAAGTTAGCCGTTGAATCAAGACCAAAGAAGAATGGA